ACATCAGTCATTCAATATTCCCACAGCATTCTCATTTGTATATACCATCAATAACTTTACTTAGGTGACAAAGTAAAGTGCCTTGACAAACCTATTTGATTTCCTCCAATTCCCTGTGGAGACGATACTCTACTTATCACTTTATTACTTATTCGATTGTGTATACTTGAACATATATCCGCACTCATTTATAGTACTCACAAAGAGCAGACACATAGTATCGATACCATCAGGCCCCAATGGCTAGTAACAGCTAGTTGATTTAAAAATAACAAAGGTAGTAATGATACTCCCTTTAGGAGTACCGACACCCTCTGTATTGGATAATTTTATTTTGCAGAGATTTCATCCCCAAACTGCTAGAAATCAACCCCCAACGGCTAGAAACGACCATAACTTCATTTCAACATATAAATATAAGTTCAAGATACTTGAAAAGGGTTAAAACACCTATCCAAATAATCAAACACAAGAGAATAATTTTCCATTCTTATTTTTTGATTCTCTTGTAAATATTAATGTTTTAGTGAGCAAAATTTGTAAACACCCTACATTTGAGAGGTTTTATTTGTTTACTTCATTTTACCTTTTGTAAAGGGGATTGATTCTAGTTTAACCAAATGAAAAACTAGGGAGTGTAAAGGTTATCTCTTTGTCCTTGAAAAGAAATAATAAATTAGTGGATTTGTTGGAAAATCCTAAGTGATGAGCTTAGGTAGTGGATGTAAACTTCATTGAGGGAGTTGAACCACTATAAATCCTTGTGCAATATTCTTTCTATCTCTTTTTACTCCTTACTCCCTAAAAATATCAAAAAGCCAATTCACCCCCTCTTACAATTTCTTTTGGTTGTTCAATTCAAGTCTCTTCAGATCCTAACAATTGGTATCAGAGCTTGACTCGTTAGAAGGTCTCACATCCTTAAGACGATCCTCGAAGAAGCTCTACCAATTTCTGATGCAACCGACAAAGAGATGGCTTCAACCTCCGGTGCCTATTTCATTGAAGATTCACAACCGATCAATAAGTCACCCTACTTTAATAGAGCAAATTATGCCTAAGAATAGGATGATGCTCTTCATTCAAGCTATCGATCTAGGAGCTTGGAACTCAATCATGAAGGGTTACTCCACTCCACCTGGTGAGATGGACGATTGGAGTGATGGAGAGAAGAAAAAATTCCAGCTCAATGCTAAGGCTATACACATCCTCTTTTGTGCATTAGGCCCGGATGAATATGTAAGAGTCTCCTCTTTTTCCAATGCCAAGGAGATTTTGGATAAGCTCCAAGTCACTCATGAAGGAACCAAAAAGTGAGGGAAACCAAGATAAGTCTTCTCAACCATAGCTACGAGAACTTCAAGATGAAACCGATGAAGATATCAAAGCTATGACTGATAGATTTTTTTGTTATTGTCAATGTTCTCAAGGGATTTGAAGAAGTAATCCCTAATTAGAAGCTTGTGAGGAAGATGACTACTCTCTTCCAAAGTCTTGGAAATCGAAGAAGACGGTGATTATCAAACCTAAAATCCTAAAGTCTCTTACTCTCGACGAGCTTATTGGTTCTCTTCTCACTCATGAGTTGATGGTGAAGGAAGAGGAAGATGATGAAGAAAAAAAGACAACAAGGAGGTAAGCATTGTCTTCAAGTCCACCAATGAGAAATATCAAGATTCAAATGAAGAGGTGGATGAAGACGTTGATGAAAAAGAAGAGATGGCCAAGCTCTTCAAAAAGTTCAAGAGATTCATATCTTCCAAGGAAGTGAATCATGAATCTACCAAGAAGAAGAGTCCTCCGGTGTGCTTCAATTGTCAAAGAACGGAGCATGTCAAGTATGAATGTCCCCTCTTAAAAAAGAAGGGATCATCCAAGAAAAAGACATTTGTGGCAGCTTGGAGTGATGAAAATGACTCTAATGATGAAGATGAAGTAGCCAACTTATGCCTCATGACCATCAAAGAAGATTCAATGGTATCTTCTAACTCAAATGATTTACATTCACATTCTTTTGATGATTTACAAGATGCTTATAATGAGTTGTATTTGGAATTTGAGACCATGAATTCCAAATATAAAAAATTAATTTCAAAACTTAAAATTGAAAATGATTTGGTTTTGAAAGTAAAAGTCGATTTTGAAAATCAAAATAAAATTTTGAAAAATGATTTAGAGCTTTCAAAAAGTCAAAATCAATGATTTAGAAAAAGAAAATTTTGATTTAAAAGTTAAGCTTGAAAACTTAACAAAAAAAAGAAATAATTTCTAAAAATAACTCATTATGTTTAAAAATGGAAAAATGCTCACATTACCATTTTTATGGTCATTTGGAACATACTTGTCCCATAAAGAAAAATCTTTTAAAATTAGACAAGTATGGGTTCCCAAGGAAACAAGGGGCATTGAAACTAACGTCCAAGGATCCAAAGCAATTTGGATACCAAAATCCAAATAAATGTCTCTTGTAGGTGTGAGAACAATGGTGATGAAAGTGATGATACTCAAATGCTCTAGCCACACTTGAAAATGAATGGGTAACTTCTAAGCCTAATGTTTTTATTTTAGTTATTTGGTTGCTCATTTTGTTTATACATGCATGAGTTTTGGTTTTAAATGATTATACATTGTTTTTAATCTTATGTATGTTGAAAAATGCTTTATGATGAACATTTTAAAGTTTTAATGATTTTTCATAACTTTTAGTCCATCATAATGATTTTTGATCAAAATTGATTTTCAATGCAAATGATATCTCTCTAACAATTGATATCAACTTTTCAAATGTTTGATTCTACAAATTTTAAATTTTTGACCTAAATTTAAATGTTTATACATGTGTTTTAAATGCAAAAGATATATCTCTAACAATTGATATCAAAATTTTCAAATGCATAACATTTTTGGAAAGCTTTATGCATATGCACTTAATTTCAATTTGGTATTGCATAAAGTACTTTAGACTTGGATATATTGAATTTCATGTGCTACTAACATGTTTGTTATTCTTTGTTGAAATTCAATTTTGTTTGAGTGTCAAGCTTTTAAAGTAAAATTTTGTTTTGGAATGCACTTTTTGAGGGGGAGCTTTGATTTTTCAAATGCTTTTAATATCAAATTTACCACTTACTCTCCAATGTTATTTTTTAACTTTAAAGATTGAATTATTTTTGATAAAACAAAAAGTGGGAGAAGTATGGTTTGAAAAAATCAATTTCTTAATAAAAAAGGGGGAGCTGAACATATTCATATATTTTCCAACATTTGGTATCTTTTTCATTAAATATTTTATTAAGGGTTTGCCAAAATAATTTTTAAATGTTTTCTTATATCAAAAAGGGAGAGATTGTTGAACTATATTTTGATATAACAATTAAGGCAAAATGTTTTTGGACTTGAATTGAATTTGTTCAAATTTTTTCAAAGTTTTCAAAAATAATTTAAAATCCATTTTACTTGGAATTGAGCATAAAATATGTTTTTGTACAAGTAGTACCGATAATGTTCTTACAGTACCGATACCACATGAACAATATCGATAATGTTCATATAGTACTGATACCAAAGGTAAGGGAAGTATCGATACTCTCAAGGAAGTATCGATACTCTCAAGGTAGTATCGATACTACCAACATTGCTCAAATTCCAGAATGCAAAAATGGTACTGATACCCAAAGGGGTACCGATACTACTTTACATAGTAGTATCGATACCATAGGCATAGTATCGATACCATCAAGCCCCAACGGCTAGTAACGGCTAGTTGATTTAAAAATAACAAAGGTAGTACCGATACTCCCTTTAGGAGTACTGATACCCTCTGTACTGAGCAATTTTATTTTGCAGAGATTTTATTCCCAAACGGCTAGAAATTAACCCCCAACGGCTAGAAACAGCCACAACTTCATTCCAACATATAAATAGAAGTTCAAGACACTTGAATATGGGTTAGAACACCTATCCAAGCAATCAAACACAAGAGAAGAATTTTCCATTCTTATTTTTCGATTCTCTTGTAAATATTAGTGTTTTATTGAGCAAAATTTGTAAACACTCTACCTTTGAGAGGTTTTATTTGTTTACTTCTTTTTACTTTTTGTAAAGGTGATTGATTCTAGTTTAGCCAAGTTAGAAACTATGAAGTGTAAAGGTTATCTCTTTGTCATAGAAAAAGAAAGAAAAAATTAGTGGATTTGTTGGAAAATCATAAGTGAGGAACTTAAGTAGTAGATGTAAACTTCATTGAGGGAGTTGAACTACTATAAATCATTGTGCAATATTCTTTCTATCTCTTTTTACTTCTTACTCCCTAAAAATATCAAAAACCAATTCACCCCTCTTACAATTTCCTTCGGTTGTTCAATTCGAGCATCTTCAGATCCTAACAAATTTAACTGTCATAAATTTATATAAAATTAAAAGGTTTTACGTTATATAAATACTAAATATTAAATATTGAGTTACTATCTCAAACTTATCACCTTCATGTTTAACACATTTTCATTTTTCTCCTTATTAAATAGGTTGTAAAAACTTTTTGAACTCAAATCAAATAACTTTCGAGTCACAATTAATAATAAGTCTAAAGGGATTAGCGAGAGTAATTATCTCCAGAAATTCTAAATTCTTAAAAAATTTTAAATTTTAATTAATAACTTATTTTTATCATTATAAATTTTTAAAAATTTATATCTTTAAAATATCATAAAGAACCGAATCTAATCACAGTCATATGTAGGGTTGATTGGGCAAACAACCGGCATGCAAGGTTGGAGATTAAGGAAAGAGAGAGAGAGGGAGTAGGTTCAATAATGAATGAGAAATAAATGGAAAAGAAGGGAATGGGATGGGAAGGGGTCAAATCCTGAGTCCATTAATGACTGTTCCTTTGAAAGATTCAGCTGTCAATGGTGTGGTGTGGGGTATCATCTTCTCCAAAGCTGGAATCACACATCTTTTATCTTATGTGTCGGCGCAGCACAAAGGCGGTGCTGAAATTGATGAGACTGAGCCTATTGATATGATTGATTAAAACATTTCTTCCCCATAATGACGAATACCCACCACCTACACCAAAAAAATACTTGGATTTACACTCCAAAAACTCTAGCTTTTTATGATTCCTTGCCATTGAACAACACTTACTCTGCAAGACCACTTGTGTACAAGTGAAACTTATCTCACGTTACTTTGCCATTGAAGAATTTCATGCTTTTAAAGGTTAGCTAAGGTTTCTCATGGAGATGTACAGCTTGTTTCCTTTACTGTTATGGCTCCCATGGAGTTTCTTCATAATGGGTGGCTACTCTCAATTGCTGAACTCACAAGCCCAAGTTCTTCTTCAACTAAAGAAGCATTTGGAGTACCCTAAACAACTTGATATCTGGTATGATCGAAGAACATTGTTCTGCTCTTTGCCTCCATCTCCAAATGTAAACGTTTCATGTGAGTTCAACTCGGTAACTGAACTCAAAATCATGGGTGATAAGCTTTCCATTGAATTTACTGACTTCCATGGTTTTCCAGTACCAAATCGAACTTTGTCGGATGCTTTTTCAATGGATTCTTTTGTTACAACTCTGTCGAGGTTACCACGCTTGAAGGTTCTTGCTCTTGTTTCTCTGGGGATTTGGGGTCCTCTCCCTGATAAAATCCATAGATTATCTTCACTTGAATCTCTAGATTTGAGTTCAAATTTTCTTTATGGCTCAATCCCTCCTAAAGTTTCAACAATGGTGAAGCTTCAGACTCTTGTGTTAGATCATAATTTCTTCAATGATACAGTCCCCAACGTGTTTGATTCTTTGTCTAACTTAACGAGTCTGAGCTTGAAGAAAAACACGTTAAAGGGTCCTTTTCCATCTTCAATCACAGGGATCAAAACTCTCATTAGTCTTGATTTTTCCAGCAATGAAATCTCAGGAAAACTACCGGATCTCACTGGATTAACACGACTTCGACTGCTGGATTTGAGTGCGAACAATTTCGATTCTCATTTGCCAACAATTCCCAAAGGATTGTTTATGGTTTCACTCGAAAAAAACTCCTTCACCGGTGAAATCCCAGCACAATATGTCCATCCTACTCACCTCCAACACATTGATATCTCATTCAACAAGCTAAGTGGTACAATTCCAGCTCCACTTTTCTCTTTGCCAAACATCAGTTTCTTGAATTTGGCATCAAATATTCTGAGTGGATCACTTGGTTACAATATAACCTGTGGAACCAACCTCGGGTTTGTTGATATATCGAACAATAGGCTATCAGGGAGTTTGCCTTCATGTTTGAACTCTGAATCAGGCAATAAAGTTGTCAACTTCGATGGCAACTGTTTATCCATCAATGAACATCATCGGCGTCATAATCAGCACCCGGAATCGTATTGCAGAGATGAAGTTCATAAGAACCAAAGCAATCCGAATGCCAGAGGCATAGGAGTTTCAGTTGGTCTCATAGTAGGCATAGCTGTTATCTCTGTGCTTTTGGCCATTGCCCTTGTAATCGTTTGTAGACATTACTGCAACCGACTGATATCGGAGCAACATTTGCTGCACAAATCAGTTCAAGAAAAGTCCAAAACAGGGTTCTCTTCTGAGATCCTAACCAATGCAAGTAAGTTAAAAAAGGGTGAAACTATGATTTTAGTCCCTGTACTTAATGTTAACGACATTAGTTATTTGGAATAAGGCATACTATTTTGATTTCAGGGTACATTTCTGACAATGCAAAGTTAGGGGGACAAGGTCTCCCACCTTGTCGATCGTTCACCTTGGAAGAGTTAAAGGAAGCTACAAACAACTTTGATAACTCTGCTTTTCTGGGTGAAGGTTCATATGGAAAGGTAATACACTAGTATTATCTGTCATCATTTTGTGAGATTAAACATCAGTTACAATATGAAATTATGATCATCATTTTGTGATTCTGACTCTTTTTACCATTGTTCTTCACCGCAATCGACCACAGTAACATATATTATGACCAAGAACGGATTAAACACAAATTTTTCGTCGCTAAATCTCACTAAATTTCTTTCCCAGCTTTTCAAAGGAAGATTGGAGAGTGGAATTCATGTTGCTATAAGATGCCTGCCAACAACAAAGAAATATTGGATTAGAAATCTCAAACTCAGGCTGGATATGCTTGCAAGGATTCGCCACCCACATTTGGTTTGCATTTTGGGACATTGCATTGAAGTTAAACAAGATGACTGCAGTGTCAACGGAGTGTTCCTCGTTTATGAATACATTTCTAATGGGAATTTTCGTTCTCATCTCTCTGGTAAATATCCTTGGACTCCAAACTTGATGTGTAACTTTAGATTGTTTTATTTATGGGATCAAATTGTGGTTTTCATTCCTGTATTAAACTCAACCTACAAATTTGGTTCCCCGTACGTTGATTTGGCACGAATTGGTCCTTTATCCCAAATCAGTAACATTGCTACCACATTTGACTTGATGTTACTGTAGAGAATTGTGTTGGAGGAGTTCTGAATTGGTCGGAAAGATTAGCGATTTTAATCAGTGTTTGCAAGGCGGTGCAGTTCTTGCATACTGGAGTTATCCCTGGTTTCTTTCACAACAGATTGAAGACCAACAACATATTGCTGAACCAACATCGGATGGCCAAACTGGGTGACTACGCGCTCTCCATTATCTCTGAGGAAACCAACAATGATACGGTAATACTCCTTATTATGTTATTCAAAATGGTTAATTTCACAAAACTCAACATCTGCAATCTTTTCTTTATCTTCAGACCGAAGCTAATGACTTCATCCCTTGTTATCTTCACAATAATCCTTATATGATTACAAACTTATGACCGTATTCTTACGTGCAGGCAAAAGGAGAGGATCCTCATAAATCATGGTAAGGACTGATATTGATTTGTTCATTTGCTTCACTACCTTCATGCTCAATTTTGCGTTCAATGTCAGTTCAGCATATTAGCAGTGTTAAGCAGAGATACTTACTATTCGAACTATATTTCCAGGCAAATGACAATATTAGAGGATGATGTTTATAGCTTTGGACTCATCTTATTAGAGACAATGCTCGGTTCCTCCATTGCTGCCAAAATGGAGGCGACTCTACAACATGAATTGGTATGTAATTCCAATATTTTTGCACTCAGAAATGCTTCACATCCGTCATGTAAAAGCTATATATTTAATTAAGCCTGTCAGTTGGGTAAATTGAGTTGGTTTTAGATATAGTCAAATTGAGTTTTAAAATTTTAAGGTCATTCAGGTTAATTTCATTTTGAGTTCGGACCATCTTGAATTTTTTTCATTCGACTTTGATCCAGGTCATTTTAAATTACTTATTCGGGTCATTTTAGGTCCAGATGATTTCGAGTTCAGGTTATTTGGGATTTGGGTCATGTCAAATGAGTCGTCTTAGGTTTAGGTCATCCGGTTTGTCAGCCGTTTTTGAGTTGGATCATTTTGGGGTTCAAGTCATTTGGATGTGTATTCAGGTTCGACATTCGAATTCAGGTCATTTCAGGTTCAGGTCATTCTAAGTTTGTATGACTTTGGGTTCATATCTTTTTCAAGTTTGAAGTAGGTGAAGTCCGGATCGTTGACTTTTACAGTCAAATCTGTCTTTGGTCGGATTCAAAATTCAAAATTTCAAATTCGGATCGGAATCAACAAGTTCATGGATGGCCAACTTATTACATTGTCTTTGGTTTGACAGGCATCGTTAAGCAATCAAGATGGGCGAGCAAGGTTGATGAACCCAGTTGTTTCAGCTACAGGATCACAAGAATCATTATCAACAGTGATTTCCATAGCGAATAAGTGCATTTGTCCAGAACTATGGAGCCGCCCATCTTTTGAGGACATTCTTTGGCATTTGCAGTATGCAGCACAGATCCAAGCAAATGCAGACTCTGAACCAAGATTCAGCTCTGTATAGTTCATTACATTTTGAGAAACCAAAACAAGTTTGTTCTAATTCTTTTATTTAGGAGGCTGTAACATATTAATAAATGTCCGGATTCGAACTCAATGTTACCTATTCAAGTCCGATTCTCCATATGATTTTCGGACTCAAAGTTTGTCTGGTTTGCTCGTTTTTCGATTTTGTAATATGTTGTTCTTGTATATTTTTTATACCGTTTTGGGGTTGATGCCACAAACATGCTTATCAAAACCTCATCTCTTCTCGCTTACATCATACAAGTTCTCAATAATTGGGGCTTAGTAATTGGACTTCAATTATGTAGATTTTTCCAAAAAGATATTAGCAGTAGGGACAAGGGGGTGATGGAAACCAAAGATGATGACAAATCTTATCTAAAGATCATACATGGAATCAATAGCACAATCCGAATCCAAAACGACCAAAACTTGAACTAATATTCAAATGATTTGTGAAACTTGATCCATTGGCAATACACCATTATTAAGCCTTGAAATTATAGGCATTGATGCAAAAAGAAAGCACTTAGATACCCTTCTTGAACATTGCCCAAACTCCAAGGGCGGATGTATGTGGCTCCCTATGGGTCACTACACATCTATTATTTTAAGAAAAATGTTTAATTTAATTTAATTTGTTAATGAAAATGTAAAAAAGTAAAAAATTTTGCACCCAAAATTTTTCGAATATAAACATTAAAATTTTAGACCCCATTTTTTAATTTCTAGATCCGTGCCTAACCCTCATCGGAAGACCATAGAGCCGGATAAACCCGGTTGCGTCAGCTTGATTATATATGTCCCCATTCTCAAAGGAGGAGATATCCTCTGTACAAGCTATAGGGGCTGGTCCGACCAGTTACAGAAACAGATCCTTTGTATAGCTTCAAAGTAACAGAACCAGGGGTGGTTTCGGTAATCTTCTCCATAAATGCATCCATGGATTCACGAAGAGGGTCGAACCAGCTTCCTGCATTAACTAGCTCAGCATACCTGAGGGCAAATGAATCTTTAACTTGGATGGTTTCACGGTAAAGGGTTAGGGACTCCAGTTCACGCACAGCGTTGAATAGGATGGTACCACCGGGAGTTTCATAGACTCCACGACTCTTCATACCGACAAGCCGGTTTTCAACCATGTCAATACGGCCAATCCCATGTCTCCCACCAATTTCATTGAGTTCGGCAAGATGAGAAGCCGGTGAAAGAATCTTTCCATTAAGTGAAACAGGGATGCCTGAATCAATTCCGATTTCCACGTATCTGTAGACATTGTGCGAGTAAGCTGTTAGATTGACATCCAGAACACATGGAAAACATTGAAAAGGATGGTAAACTTACCGTGGTTCATCAGGTGCATCTTCTAGGTCAACACTCATCATGTACATATCTTTCTTCGGTTCATTTGCTGGATCCTCCAAGATATCTCCCTTCAATGCCAAGATAAATTAATATCGGAGCGAAACAAACATAATAGCATTAAGTAAAGCAAAGGAGCTTATAGAAAGATTAACACGGCAAAAAGAAAACATCCTAACAAGGCTTAGTTACCAAATCTCATGGCTCAAGTGCCATAAGTTCCCGTCTCTGCTGTATATCGATTTCTTTGTCACCGGAACAGGCACGTTATGCTTATTAGCATATTCAATAGCATCTTCTCTCCCTGTAATATCCATTCTCTCCAAGGAGCCACAACATTTAATTCGGGATTTAGAGCAAAGAATGTGAGCTCAAACCGAACCTGGAGGAATAATATACTAGCCAGTTTGGTTGAGAGGCATGTCTGATCATTTCCTTTCCCTGTGCATCCATGGGAAACAGCATCGGCGCCAACCTCTCTTGCTACATCTACAATGGCCTGTCATAATAAGAACGTAAGCATAGAAGGTAAGAAAAAAAAATCAAAGAATACGGAAAAGGAAAATGCAGTTAAAACTTAAAAGCACCTATTTGATTCCCTAAAATAACAAACCTTAATCACATTCGAAGAAAGAAAAAAAGGATTCTAAATAAAGCAGATAAAGTACAAATAATAGTTCTTAGGTAGCATTTTATGGAGACTTTAATAAGATCTGTATTCGCGTTAGCTTGACAGAATGTATAACTACAAGAACATAAAAAGTACCAAAATTGGTAGTAACCTTCGCGATAACAGACCAGGCCATTGAGGTCCCCAACAAGTATTTCCTTTCATAAACCTCACCAACCCGCAAGCAAGGAAATATATACTCTCTCACAAATTCCTCCTTTATGTCCTTAACTACCAACTGGCAGGCACCGCTTGCCTTGGCCTTTTCTTCCAAACCATCCAACTCCTTTATGCCCTGAAAAAAGTTTAAAACACGTACAAATTGCAAACATAATAAAGATGTCATTACACAAATAAACCACATTATAAAAGAGCCTAGAGTAGATTAAATTGTTTAGCAAACTTGTTATTCCCACTTACTTGGCCAACGTCGGCTGTGAAGCAAACAACCTCACAACCATAATTCTCCCTGCAGAAGCAAAACGCTTAAACCAGACTCCAGAGGTTCCATAAGCATGTCTAAAGATTAGAGATGGGCATGGGACCCTGAACCTGACAGGTTCTGATCGGGTCGGGTCGGATTATTTTAAAAATTTCGAGTTCAGGTCGGATCGGGTTTAGGGTGAAAAATACCCGACACGACCCGACCCGGAAAAAAATTATAATTTTACCTTATATATTTAGGAATAATTACAATAATACCCCTCTATATATTTTTTTTTCAATTAATCACTGTTTTTATTGAATAAAAATAATATTTTTTATTATTTCGAGTTGGGTCGGGTTTTTAAGTTATATATCGGGTCGGGTGGATCAAAAACCCGACCCATGCCCATCCTTACTAAAGATCAATAAAAACTAATAGTAAAACTCATGCTTCAAGAATAATGCCAGAACAATAATAACTCTTTTGATCAAGAAATGGAGAGTAGTACATGTACATATATATGTATATATAACATAAAACAGTCGAACTACCTTAGCCATGGAACAATAACAGAAGTGTCTAAGCCGCCACTGTAGGCTAAAACAACTTTGTTTAATTTGCCTCGCAGCCCCACACCCTTTGTAAGGTCGGAAATGCCTGTCCCTGTGTTGCTAGTCAAAACAGCTTGAATCCCTGCAAGTTCGTATAATCAAAACAGTTCAAAACTAAAATGCAATAGTGCAAAAGCATCTCAGAAGCCGCTTATGAAACAGAGATGAAACATATTTAAGAGACGAAATATCCAACAACAAGGCCAAACACAGATAGCAAAATGGAAGAAATTCTTCTAAAGCTTCTCACAGATAGAACAAACAGAACAAGCAGAAACACAATCAAAAACCTAAAAGAAGAAACGGGGTCATCTCTATGGTCGAATAATCGAGCAATGTACCCATTGTTGCATACAATAGCATGACCATGAAATGAGCTAGCTTTTCCACTTAACTGTCAATGAAATATCACAAAAACGTTTTCAAAGGCAAATTTTAAGAACAAAACACAAACAAATAGAACCAAAAAGAGGGGAAACTATGACAATGTGAAATTAGTACAAAATTACCTCTTGCAATGATGACAACTTCCTCGAGCAGATCAAGTTATCAGGGTTGAACAAGGTGTCTGCAAAATGAAATAATCAAAACGGCGCATCAGCTAATAAATTCATTCAAAAACACTAAACCTTCAACGAAAATGAAGGGACAATCAATAAAGTATGGAATGCAAAGAAAAATTACTTCTTTTGGAGCCGTAAGAAGCGATATTGATTGATGAAGTTGATGAAATGGCCTGAAGTTGAGCCATTCTTTTTCCTCTTTGCCTGTATTTTGAGAGCGAAAAGGCAGGCAGACAAACAACGACAACAACGCTAGGGTTTTAGATTTTAATACAGGGTCAAATACAATAAAGGTCATTACATTATTAGCATAATTACATATTAATCACTTAGTTGCAAAATGTTAACAAACATTTTAGTCAAATACAATAAACGACAACAAATCACTCAATTAATTGATCCTTATAATCAGGTCAACTAATTTAATTGATTATTATAATCAAGTCACTCAATTGTAACTAAAAAGTTAACAAACATGTACCAGGTGAAAATCATAGATTTAAAGCATCCCAAAATGGCGCACGTTTACGAAATCCTCTGGGTGCTCGTTAGCAGGGCTAATGGAACCAGAGATTTTGTTGAATCGTCGGTGCTCGTCGTCTGATTTCCTTATCAAGATCTTCATCGTTGTTGTTTCTCTTTCAGTGTTGCTTTATTTTTTCCCGATGGACTGGCGTAAGCTTTTTGGGAGTCCTGAAGTCCATGACCTAGAATATTTTCCCCCAAATCTTCTCGATGGAGTCCCGACCGTGCTTCCCCTCCAGAAATCTTCGATGCCGGATCTTCTGAATGGAAATTGTCCCTTGTGGGTCAATTTCTCAGTGTTACTCCAAGCTTCTCCTCACTGCGAAGAACTATGAAAGCTTATGGTGCAAAGCGTTGCAAGGTTCTTCAGTCCATGTCAGTTCAGCTGGAAATAACCTATACTTATTCTCATTTAATTCTGAAAATGCTAGAGACTGGGTACTTGAAAACGGCCCATGGCATGTTCACAACAAACCTCTTATTCTTAGAAAATGGGAGCCTAATTTGAAGAGATTGAACTTTAGCTTATCTAAGATTTCAGTGTGGGTTCACTTATACAATGTTCCATTAGAACTATTCAATCGAAATGACCTTAGTTACATAGCAAGTTCCATTGGATTTCCTCTCTCAATGGACACTATTACAGCTTTAAAAACTAGGCTAGAGGATGTCATCCCTAAATTTATCGATGTTATATTAAATGATGGTCAAACTACTTTTATCATCGTGGAGGTTCCCTGGCTTCCTCAATCCTGCAAGAAATGCAAAGTTTATGGCCACAATGAAAAATGATACTCCTAGAAGCCTACTACTTCCTCTACTGTCTCTCAAGTCTGGAGAAAAAAAGGTGATCCTATTCCTAACTTAGCTTCTACTCATGCTGGAGGAGTAGAGGTTCTTCAGGAACAGACTAT